CCTGACTGGTCGTTTCCGGTAGTCCACTATCATCTCTCTAGTTTTGCTGATGTTGAGAGTCAGGTTATTTTCCAGGCACCACTCGTACAGTGCCATCACCTCCTCTCTATAGGCCGTCTCATCCTTGCCTGTGATGAGGCCTATGATGTTTGTGTCATCAGCAAACTTGATGATGATGTTGGACTCGTGTTTAATAAATATAGAATTTGAAAAAATAACAAACCTAAAAAGAAACACTAGGTACGAGATACATGAGTACCTATGATACGGTGATACTTTTGGTAAACAACCATTTGACTAACATGTCTGTCTCACCGGCTCTTGTTCCCTCTCTGTTCTGTCCTCATTCTCCTCTCTCTCTCCCTCTCTGCTCCTCTCTCTCCCTCTCTGTTCCTCTCTCTCCCTCTCTGCTCCTCTCTCTCCCTCTCTGTTCCTCTCTCTCCTTCTCTGCTCCTCTCTCTCCCTCTCTGTTCCTCTCTCTCCTTCTCTGTTCCTCTCTCTCCCTCTTTGTGCTGACAATCAAGCCAAACACCAACATCATCAAATATACAGTGGAAACCAGATATTTACATACTCTTCAGATAAAAAACACTTTTTAATTGTAACATCAAATCAGACTAAATGTTTATTTTTTTAGATTGATAAATATAAAAACATATTTGTTAACTTTAAGAATAAAGAGAGAAACTATCTGTATTTAATTAAAAATGGCACCAAATTGTATTAAAAATTGAGCCACACTTATGGAGCTCCACAATTCTTTTCCTGGTGTTTTGGTTGACATCTCTTGATTTTCCCATTTCAAAGAAACAGGCTCTGTGTTTTGCCTTATATGCATCCACAGGTGTGCCACCAATTTACTCACATAGACTTTACTAACCTATCAGAAGCTTCTTCAGCTCAGAATGGAATCGTCTGGAGTTTTCTTATTAATTACCAATAAACTTGGTGTATATGTACTCTTAAATTTGATGAAAGTGATAAAAAAATAGACAGCTCTGTCTCTCTTTATTCTGACATTTAACTAATTCAAAAGATATTTCATTATTTATTTATCCAAAACAAAACAAGTTTACTCTAAATTGATGTTGTGCAGTAAAAAAATGTTCTTGTGTTTTCCATAAAGTGTATGTAAATATCTGGTTTAAACTGTGAATATACTGCTGTGTATTGAAATTCCTCTTGTTTTGCATAGAAATAAACTGAACAACATACAAAACATAATATATAAAATAACATCTACCGGAGTTTTTTCTTTGAAAGAAGCCCCTTATGTCCATTCTTGCATATCAGTACATTACTGAAACCGATTTATTTAGTCCTGGAGGGTAACAACTGAAAATATGAAATAAACACACATGTAAGCTAAGACTCGCTAAAGAAACAGCTTTGTTGTTGTTCTGCTTTTCATTTCGCCATTTGTTGATTCA